TCCCGCAGAGCTGCCGGGCAGAGGAAAAGTGCCTCCCCACGCCCGCTCCCCCCCTGCCAGCAACAGGCTGCCCCCTCCCCTGAGCAACAGGCTGGCGAACAGCAGACAAAAGCAGCCTCTCCGCCCCTCCTCCCCCTATACATGCTGGGCTCCCTGGGCAAACAAAGACTCCACCAAAACAAACAAAGTGCTGGCCTCATTGTGTTAGCAAAAAAAGGACCCTCCTCCTAGAACCCTGGGTGGTGTGTGGAAATAAAGCTATTAGCTCAAAGCATGGTGCAGAGCTGTTTGGTATTTGATGAGTTACTCTTTTAGTCCTGAGTTTGTCACAGGGACAGAAATAGATGTGAAATCTTCTGAACAGGGGAACAGACAGCAAAACAAACATTAGAGGGGAGTTAACCTTTCCCTATGCTATCCAAAACTAAAAAAAATGTTTGGCTAGAGTTTCCCCTACAATATGTACCAGTTCCGACTTACATACAAATTCAACTTAAGAACAAACCTACAGTCCCTATCGTGTACGTAACCCGGGGACTGCCTGTACTTTTGCAAAGAAGTGAAAAGTTCTGGAAATACTGACTTTTTTCTTATTGTTAATGAGTGATAGTGCTTATTAAATTGAAGAACTAATAGAACTGTCTAAAGCAGGATGTAGCATGGGCAGACACAATATAAACTTCCCTACAGATAGCTGATTGTATCTTGGTCCTGTGCTGCATCATTCCGGATATTCAAGTCCAAGGCCTCTCTTATGCTGAAAATGATGCTGTCTGGTGGTTTTGTGATGTGAACAGATAGAGTAGGCTGACATCCCTAAAAGCATTTTCCTTGTTAACTCAGCCATATGCTGTGTACAGCCGGTCCCTGAGTTACGAACGCGTTATGGACCAAACACTTGGCCGTAACTCAGAATGGTTGTAACTCGGAACCCATTGAGTTACATTGCGACTGCGCTGTTCGTAAGTGTGGATCGCATTCATAACTTGGAGCCAGCATTTACGACCGCTTTGGTCATAAGTGCGGATGGTCGTAAGTCGAGGTGGCTGTAAGTTGGAGATCGGCTGTACTCAGAAGTGAGAGGCTAGTGCAGTATCCCTCCTCACTACCAAGACACACATGTTAGCAACCTAGACTACAGTTAGCTCTGATCAGGCTTATCATAAGCTTGTAGCATCTTTCGCAGCAGCAAGATACAGAAGCTTTGATTTTATGAGCTTTTTGGTGTTGGTGTTTGTCAGGGCTGTTCCCCACTCTGGCGCTCCGAGTGCAGAAGGTGGGGGCTGCAAGAGACCTTAAAAAATGCCTTGCCTCTATAGACTTCTGCTTACAATTCCCCAAGGCCACAGATTCCCTAGCCTTGGGAGGTAATTGCCCCCACCAAGTGAAACAAAAGACCCCTTTCTTCTTGATCCCAGGAAGGAAGCACTTGGACTCCTTCCAGAGGGGTATCCTCAAGCTCTTTTACCACAAGAGAGCTTGGAAAAAAGTGAAAAACTGCAGTCTCTGGTAGCTGATCTCTCACTCTTAGGCATGCAGATAGACCCAGACTTCCTGTTTCCTTCCAGGACACACGAATCAAATCTTCACCTTAAAAAGGTGATTTTAGTAACAAAATCAAGAATATATACTTGATAAATCATACTCAGTTGCTAGGTGTTACAGAGCAACTAAGAAAAGAGCAGATTAAAACAGGAAAAAATATCATCTCTGGGCACAGCTTAAATAGTGAATGGGGGTAGGATTACCAGGTGGCTTTAAAAAAAATACCGGACACACTTGATCTCAGATCGGGGAGGGAGAACTGGCTGGGAGGGGAGTGGGGCTGGCCAGGAGGAGGAGGGCTGGGGGAAATGGCTGATGGGAAGCAGGGCTGGCCAGGAGGGGGTCGAGGGAGTGGAGCTAGCCAGGGGAGGAGGGAGGGAGAACCAGCCAGCAGGAAGCAGGGCTGGTTGGGGGCAGCAGGGCTGCATGGGGGGG